TGCTCGTGCGGCACCTGCCCGCCGAGCTGGCGGCGGCCGAGAAGGAGGATCTGCTGCGGCACTTCGGCGCCGTGGCCGTGCGCGTCCTCTCCGACCACGGGCGGCTGGTGAGGGACGGCGCCCGCGGGGCGAGGAGCGGGGCTAGGAGGGGACCCGGCCCCGCAGCCCCGGGGGACGGGGACTTTCACCTCACCAAAAACACACCAACTCCTTCCCCCGTTCCCCAGACGTTCAGCTTCCCGCCCTGCTTTGCCATTGCAGGCAGCTCTTGTCCTAAATGCGGAGGAGAAGCCATCCCTAGCCCCTCAGTGCTGTCCCGTGTGTGGCTTTGGGCACCTCGCAGCTTTCCAACGCCCCAGTTTGCATCCACAAGTTACCCCTGGATATAATCTCCACGTAGGCTTATTTTTGCTGCCTCTCTCGCTGTGTACGAGCTCAGATTGACAAAAAGATGTTTTTTGTTTGTTTTATAGAAACATACTGCTTTCGCGACGTTCCCCAGTGAGAACGCGGCGGCCAAGGTTGGTGTAGAGGTCGTGATTAAGCGTTTTTGGCAAAGAGCTCTCCTGGATTGCCCCTTCTGCTCTATTTTTTTTTTCTGCATCTTTTACCACTGAGTGTTGGTGCAAAAATATATTACAGTTCCATATCTGTAGGTGCACGATGGATTTGTTAAAAACAAAATATTTTTATACACAGTGTAAAAAATATAGGTTGGATGGGACTTCTGGAAGTCACCTGATCTAACCTGTCACTTAAGGCAAGGCCACCTGAGATGATGTCTAAAGGGATATGTGCCTATTTGTGTAAAAACTGGCTTGATACAGCAAACATAACATGTTTCCTACATAATCATATATTTGTTATAAGATTAAGGTGCAGTGATGTACATAGTTCAAGACTACTTTGCGTGCCAAATGTTAGAACAAGAAAAGTATTGTATTAATGGGACGCATGCATACAAGAAAGATAATATTAATACCTATTTTTTAAATAGTACTCATAAAAAGCCCGTCTAGTCTTACGTGCTGTTTTTTTTCAGGCCCTGTTGTAGCATTATGTTCAAAGAAATTCCAAAAAAAACATGTAAACAGGGTGGATTTGGGTTGCTTTGTATCAGTCAGCAGTAGCCTATCCTGATTTCCAGGACAGTCTTTCCATCTTGCAGAACGCTAGGCCTTCCTAGTTAAGTATTTTAGGAATCTTGATTTTTAGGTGTCCAGATATTGTTGTTAGACTTCAGTATGTTGTAGTTCGTAAGAAAGAGGTTTGCTGCTTGAAATCATTGAGTTTTACAGAATCATTAAATAGAAGTGATAGGTAAGGTTGCTATGCAATGTCATTTTTTTTTTCCAGGAAAGAGGCTGCCAAAAACAGGGCCACCGAGGTGGGCACTGTGCAGCACTGCCTCTGTAATGGCACAGATCTAGCTTAAAGCAGCCTCTTTGAAGCAAAGAAGAGTGATTGCTCTTTGAAATATATTGTCATGTTTTCCCTCTTCTTTTTCTTTCTCTCCGATGTTTATTTGAAGGCCTTGTCGAGACTGCATCAGCTGAAGCTTTTAGGTCACACTTTAGTTGTTGAATTTGCGAAGGAGCAGGACAGCATACAGGTACTAAGCCAGCCTTCGCTCTCAGAGAAGAGTAAAAGGTACGTGAGTAATAATTTAGTTTCCATGTTTGAGGTCAAGGAAATGAAATTCTTTATTCACAATGCTGTCACAGTACTATTTAGTTAAAGGATAAGCCAGATAACTGTTTAAAAACATTACCAGACAGGTTCAGTTCTGTAGATAAGTGCTCTTTGGATGCCTTTTACCTATCTAGTCAATGGCAAAAACTGTTATAAATAATTTATTTTTAAATTTTTGACTCTCGGAAGTGAAATCTAGGAAGTGAAATTTATTTCATATGTTGTGAAACATTTGAATTTTGTTCTGCTTTAACTAATGTTTTGTTCTGCTTTAACTAATACTTTCAGCTCAGAGGAGCCTGTAATTTGAATTTTGTTCTGCTTTAACTAATACTAGATTATCTTTCAGCTCAGAGGAGCCTGTGAAGGAAGAAGAGAAGAAAGAATCAAGCTGTCTTAAAATTGACAATGGAATTGCTCCCAATCATGGGTTAGTATTTCTATTCTTGCATAGCTATTTTATTCTGCTAATTTGAAAACAGCTGTTCCATACTGTTGAACCAGAGATAATGCAGTAGTTCTGTTCTATAGTATGATGCTGTTCTACATGTGTAGATATATTAGAGGTGAAATTCATTGCTCATGAATTTCAGACCCTGGGGTTGCATAGGGATAGAGGTGGAGCTCGGGGCTACAAAATAGCCTTCTAATGCAATTTGTAGCTTTTTCGGGAGGAATTTTGAGGGCTGGGGGGATTGTCGGAGTGCTAACAGCAGATTACTCTTGTTTTTTTCAGAGGCTTCTTGCTCCTTGTTTTGCTGTTTGCATTGTTGCATACATGAAGAATATTTTGGGGCATAGAATATAAATCCAGCGTTTTGTGAGGCTGTTGGGTTTGTGGTGTCTGTGCAGCATGGCTGTGCTGTAGTCCTGTGACATGTAGGTTCTTACCTGTGTGCTTTAAGCTTCCTGCATGTGTTAATACTTGTGTTTTGCCCAAATCCAGTAAGTTTGTCGCATATAAGGGACTGATTACCCTCTAATGCAGAAGACAGAATCCCAACCACCTAAAATTATTACTGTACTAGAAGAAATGGGGACATTTCAGTGATATTTCACGGATGTAATGAATGTTAAACCTCTAATATTCATTGTTACCAGTTATCACATGATAGTGGAGCTAAGATTCCTTGTCTTTGATCTTTTTCCTCAGCCTCACCTTTCCCATCAATTCTTGCCTCAAATATTTGTATCCACCACCTTCAAGTACAATTCTAACAAATATAGCAAATGCCTTGGCAAGCGTGCCCAAGTTCTATGTACAGGTAAGTAAGTTCTTTACTGTGCTAAGACTCCATTGACCAGAAGTAACTGTTCATTCACTGGCACTGAATGGAAACTGGATAAAAAGATCTCCATAATTAGGTTTTAGTTGGATATTTCTGTAATTTAGTTCTGAGAAGACCTTTTAATGTGCTCTTTGCTTAGCCCTTTTCAGATGTCACTTGTTTTTACTGTTAGTGTTGGCTTACATTGGCTTTTAGTGTAGGCTTTTACATTGGTTTAAAGCAACATAGTTGTGTCCTCTTTAAAAGTATATTGATTTACCCCTGTCAAAAACTATAGCCCTGATAGCTGGCAAGTAACTTTTCCTTTTCTAAAGGAAGTAATCCTTAATTTGAATTATTTCAGGTACTTCATCTTATGAATAAAATGAATCTTCCTCCACCTTTTGGACCAATTACCGCTCGCCCTCCCATGGTAACTTATTTTATAATGTTTTTTTACAGTAGTTGAAATATATATTCACATTTTAAAAGATGAGGAACACAATAGAAGATCTAAGTTTAAAACTGCAGAAGTTGAAGAAATATGTGAAAGTCAGCAGGTGTTGCTAATTTTTATTGGATAAGATGTGTGTGGTCGTTTTCTAAAGACATCTTTTTAGTTGTGTTTAAAGAAATACTCCCCTCTGAGAGTAGAACTACATATTTCAAAGTGTTGAGTATAAAAGTGGGAGGTTTTAGAAGTGTTTATAGCATCATACAGGAGATAAAATAGAATACTACTAACCCATTGCCTTACAGAGGCGTGTAAAGTTCTTTGATCTGTGTGTTTCTTGGGAGTTCTGGTAAGATTCATACTGCTAATGAGATTATGCAGAGCTTTGGGATCTAATTTGCTCCATCTCCAGGATTTTATTTTTATTTTTTCAAACGGGGAAGGTGTAAGGAAGAACTGGCAGAGGTTTAGCAGGAGCTATATCTGTAGCAGTATTTCGGGGGATCTTGAAATACCATCTCCCTGGCCTCGGTTATCCCTGGTTCTCTGTTATCCCTGAAAGAGCAGTTTTAACTGATTGCAAGGGGAAAATAGAGCCAGAAAGGACGTTCTGTAGTTGTCGTTGCTAGAATTGGGTGTAGGGA